TTCTTGGTTACACACAGTTGGCAAGTAGAGGGCATATGTGGGCTCTTGAATGTACAATCCCGGAACGAAGTTTGTGATACCGTCAAGGTGGAAGGTGCATAGTCCGCCCCACCCTTACTGGATTGCAGGTTGCTGTTCAGCCATCTCCCCCAACAGGAGTCGCCACGCAAGTCTCAGAAACCATCACCAACCCTCCAGCAGACAAAAAATTCACAGCTCTACGAGATGCTCTCAAGATGCGATACCAGCGGCCTCACACCAGTCTCCTGCCAGACCTAACCTGGCTCTCCCTCGGCAACTCAACGCCTGCCCGTCTCTTGGATGAGATGCGGAGACTGAACTCCCACCACACAGACAGGCTTCCTAACACTATCCTGCGCCAGCTTCACACTCAGAAGCTCCCTGCAGAAGTTCGTCTCGTCCTCTCGGCATTGGACTACTCTACTACCTTGGCAGACAGAGTATTACACGAATACACTGCTGTGCGCCATGCTTCCACAAACAACTCAGAGGCCACACTTTCACTTTCCTCCGGTCTCGTCAACCAAATCAACACTCCCCGGATGAGCAACACCACACAAGAAATGAGGGATCTGCTACAGTCCCTACACTGCAGGATGGATGCCCTCGAGCAGCTCTGCTCCTCCAAGCCTGCAGTTGCTCCTGTTCCTGCCCCAAGCACTGTGTCCTACCAATCCCAACACCCCGGTCCTGCCTCAGACGCCGCCGCCAGCCCCCAGCACAGTGTACCTACCTCCTGTTGGTACCATCAACATTTTGGTGCTAACGCTAGATGCTGTGAGGCTCCCTGCAACCACACGACGAAGCCACATCGACGGAGATTGGTAGACGCCATAACCTCCGACACTATCAAGCAGCACATCACACGCCTTACTTCTGACCTTGACCACTTCACTGCTGCTGCCCGTCATGACCTACTACAAACACTATGACAGGCAGTTTCTGCATTCAAGGCTACTGCCCCACGCCAGCCTTCCCACCTCCCTGAACACATTCATCCCGCACCACCTCTGCCAGTCTGCCCACCATTGCCACTTACAGCACCACCTCGCCCACAACATTTCTGGGTACCCTCTTTTCATCCTCAGGTACCTACTGCTCCTGACGTGGACCCTGCTCCCTACGTGAACCCTGCAGCCGGCCCTATGGACCCAGACAACCCACCTGAGGACTGTGTACCTGCCGCGGTAGAAGCACCACATTCCTCGCCTGTTCAACCTTCTTTCCTCTACAACCCTCCTTCTCCCACAGATTCCGCGTCACTAGACAGTCGTCTTCCTTAGCGGCCGACTCATCCACACCCCGCCCGTTATGTCTCACATGTGGGATACAACCCTGCCGACAACAAGTCTCCTGCACCGCTCGGAGGGGAGGGGGAGTATTATAGTGGATACTCTCCCCTACAACTGCTGACTGATCACTCGCCGTCCGCTTATCAGCCAATCAGCAGCGAGCTCCACAGACCAGGTCTCACATGCGGACGGAGGTGTACAACTGCTGAGTGATCTCTGCCCATCCGCTTACCAGCCAATCAGCAGCAAGTTCCACCGACCAGGCCGCACTCGCGCGGTGATTGATCCGTTACCGCCTTCACCTCACTTTCCTGATCCTGAGAAACCGTATAAATACGCGTATGCCTGGCCGTGGAGATTATTCTACTCTACTCTCTAGAACCAGCAAGACCTCCCAACAAGCTCCTCACCAACCAGCTCCCTCAGCAAGCTCCTCACCCAACAGGACCTCTGAGCAAGCTTCTCACCACACAGCAACTCCTTAGCACTGCACTGTACATACAATATATATATACAGAAAATGCATTGTGAGTTTCTATTCTTACCTCCATCCTGAATGCGAGATATCTTACATGTACGTACGTATGTGAGCCCACACAAAGAGAAATAGACAAACAAAGAGAACTTGACAACTGGCCACATACAGTACGCTGGCTTTAAAAATTAATCAAGTGAAAATGTACACATGACTGATGAAACTTGTACATATTGCAAATTGATTAATGATGATGCATACATGTCACACTCGAAAAATGACAGAATTGTATCTAGGAATATTATGTTAAGTTGCCTAACCATGTAATTATAGTGTAGTGGATTTCTCCTAAACGCTGTTTGTTGCTGAGTAGCCGACCGGGAATTCCCCAGTGTATGCCTCGTGGTCTGGGTCAACCAGCGCCGCCATACATCTCTGGAGTTCAACTACTATGTCACGCCTACCCCGCTATTTAAGACCTGACCTCGTGCTGACCTCTCTCTTCTTCCGGCTGCACAGCAAGCCAACACTCTCTCCTCCTCCTCCTCCGCCGCTGCCTGGCGGCTCCGTTCCAGCTGGCGAGCATTGGCAACCCACAAGCTGTCCTCCTCTGAGCACCCTCACCAACCAGCTCTCTCTACATCACGCTTGTAACCACGCTGCCACTTCCCAGCACCAAGCTGCATTGTACATCTAATACAACATGTATACAGAGAGCACATTGGTTTCCTTTCTCCATCCCATCCAGAGTGGAACCCAAACCTCCATACCCCTAAGCTGGTGACCCCAATTTGCACTCACACGGGATGGAGGAGAAACAGATTATGCTCCCAGTCTTCAAGCCATTGGAAGACTGGCTTATCCACCAGAAGCAGCTCTCATCGGCTCTACAGCTACTGTCTCTACACGCAGGTTAGACACCCTAGAGAACAGCACTGCTTCTCTAAGAGACACCAGCTCCTCTTCCTGCCCCAAGCACCACGTCCTACCGACACCAGCAAACCCGTCCTGCCTCAGGCCCGCGCCCCCGGCCCAGCAGTACCCCTGCCGTTCCTCCTGATGCAGCCTGCTGCTCAGCGGCCCATGCGCCCTGAGTCTGGGACCCACACCCCTCTTTCTCCCTCAGGTACTCCTGCCTGTCCTGCATCCTGCTGCTGTCGTGGACCCAGCTGCTGTCACGAGCCCTCATCCGCTTCTGCTGGCTCAGCCCCTCCTGCCAGGCCCACACACCCCAGCAGGCGCATCTGGCGGCTCTGTACCTGCCGTGAGGGAGCACAACATTCATCGCCTCCACACACCTTTTTTCTCCCTCTCTACTCCCACAGATGTTGTGTATCTAGACAGTTGTCTCCTCTAGCGGCCGGCTCATCCACGCCCTAGCCGTGTGCTCACATGTGGCATGCACCGCCCGTTCTGCCTCACATGTGCCATGCAACCCTGCAGACAACAAGTTTCCTGCACGCCTGGAGGGAAGGGAGTATTGTAGTGGTTCTCCCCTAAGCGCTGTTTGTTCCTGAGTAGCCGACGACCCGCGAATTCCCAGTGTATGCCTCGTGGTCTGGGTCAGCCAAGCGCCGCCATACATCACGGAGGTCAACTACTAAGCCACGCCTACCCCTGCTATTTAAGACCTGACCTCGTGGTGACCTCTCTCTTCTTTCCAGCTACAGCCGCAGCAAGCTACACTGTGGGGTATGGGATGTTTCGGTTCACACTCAGGATGGGATGGAGAAACTCAATGTGCTCTCTGTATACATGTTGTATTGGATGTACAATGCAGCTTGGTGCTGGGAAGTGGCAGCGTGGTTACAAGCGTGATGTAGAGGCTGGTTGGTGAGGATGCTCAGAGAAGGACAGCTTGTGGGTCGCCATGCTCGCCCGGGAGAGAGGGCCGCAAAGCAGGGCCGGAGGGAGGAGGAGGTTGTGCTGCTGGTTGGTGTAGGTAGAAAAGAGAGTGGTCACCACGAGGTCAGGTCTTAAATAGCGGGGGTAGGCATGGTTTAGTAGTTGACCTCCGTGATGTATGGCGGCGCTGGTTGACCCAGACCACGAGGCATACACTGGGGAATTCGCGAGTCGGCTACTCAGCGACAAACAGCGTTTGTAGGGAAGAAATCCACTACAAGCTGTCCTCCTCTGAGCATCCTCACCAACCAGCTCTCTCTACATCACGCTTGTAACCATGCTGCCTTCCCAGCACCAAGCTGCATTATACAACATGTATACAGAGAGCACATTGTGAGTTTCCTTTCTCCAACCATCCTGAGTGTGAACCCAAATAACCCATACCCCACAATAGAACATTAAATGATGATATAAACAAAAACATGTCACATATTAAACGTGACAAAAGGTGTGACCTGTTTTTGCCAATGTTTACTTTTACATTAATTATTCAATACAACTTCCTTGTTTGCTTTACAGTTAAATATGTAATATTACATACATACTTTTTTATATATATATATATATTAATATATATATATATATATATATATATATATATATATTATATACATATATAATATATATATATTATATACATATATATATATATATATTATATACATATATATATATATATATATAATCAACCTCACCATCAGAATCGAACCCTCGACCTACTGGGTGTGACAGGAACGCTTACCGGCTGAGGCCACAAGGACACTAAAAACAGTACTGTACTAGACTCTGTCATATTTCACAAAGCCTGTTCATCGAGCTGATGGCGCCGTGAACCTCAATGAAACTGCCCGTTGATTATATGTTCAAAGTCCGCGTGTTATATGGACTAAAATGAAGTATATATTATATATATTATATTTATATATATATATATATATATATATATATATATATATATATATATATATATATATATATATATATATTATATATATATATATATTGATAAAATCACGGGAAAAGGACAACGGAGCACCTTAGTTGCCTCTGAAGATGTCTTGAATAAAGACGAAAGATAAGGTGCTGTTGTTTCCCTTTTCCCGTGTGATTTATCAAATTTATCTTATCCACGTTTTCATTGTGGATCTACATGAAATATATATATATATATATATATATATATATATATATATATATATATATATATATATATATATATATATATATATATATATATATATTTCAGTATACAACAAGTGTGATTGCGTTATTTCGACTGGCACGAACAATATTATTAATAATAACAA